CCACGTGAAGCAGAAGCCAATGAGATGGAGACCAGTATAGAAGAAGATACGTCCTGTAAAATTAAGAGACTTTGTTGTATTTTAATTTTGTTTGTAAATTCTGTACATTTAATTAAGTTATTGTTGGTTTAATGTAAGTGGCTATTGTTCAGTATGAACAATACTAAGTAAGGGGCAGTGTTATGACAGCGGAAGTCACGCGATGCTGGGAGCATGTGCGTTGGAGTTTCTCGAAGGATAATAAATTTTCCTGGCAACTCTAGTTTGTTCAAGGCACCCTCTTTTGTAGTGTATAAGCCTGGCAGAGAAAGCCAACTGGGATGAATGAAGAGAGAGCAGTAGTTACTTTGAGTTTTGTGTAATTTATGATTCTGTTAGTTTCGAGCTAGTGAGCTGTAAAGTGTGTGTTTTGCACTCATCAAGAGCGAAGTTATTGAGATTGTGAATCACTGTGATTTATAACGTGTATTATAAAAATTAAGTTTGAAGTGATGAGAAACGTTCTGATTGTGGAACTTCTGTGTACTAAAAGTTTGTATCTAGGAAGAATAAACTGGTTTAATCAAGAAAGGACTTGTATCACTGAAGATCCTCGGAAAAAATTTATACCGAAAACAAACAAACATGCAGATATGTAACAGTATAGACTTACAGGCACAAGCATTTAAGTCTCTTTGCTGAAGAGTGTTTGTGACAGAAAGATACACCAAGAAAAGAAAACCAGAGTTTGAGATCATGTGTCACATATGAAGCTGAACATGCTCTGAAAAAAGCTGCAGATATGAAGCAGCATGAGGATATGCTTTTGAAAATTATACATACTGAACCTAGTAGCCAAAGAAGCTCAATACTATAAATCATGCTAAAAGGCAGATGCTTGACGTGTGGCATCCTCTGCTAAGCCACCTGCTATTGTAGACAAGTCTCATGAAAAGGTATTCATTCACTTATGTGAAACAGTAGTCGTAGAGAAAAAAAATCAAGGCAGGACAGAGATATATATAGAATGAACACTTTGAAAAGGCTTTTCAAGAGGCTGTAAGGAACATCCTTGGAAATTATTTAGAATATCAAAATTGCCAGTTGAAGAGACAGCTACAACACAAACCCACAGCTGATCTTCATTAAATCACGATTCATGTGAACTGGTTTTTTAATGAAATTGAAAGAATGATTCTTTATGATTCTGTTAGTTTCGAGCTAGTGAGCCGTAAAGCCGAGAAGACTGATAGTGATTTGGAGGAAAAGTTTCCTGAAAGCCTCAAGACCCTTAGCCAAGAAGAGAACATAAATTTATATAAAACTGCATTGTTTTTGAAAAACTCTTTTGGACAACTTCCCAACAACACTGGCCTGTAGTCTCCAACTGCAAATGCATTTGATGATGATACTCTTCAAACCTTTATTCCAGGTCACCTCTTCAATTTTCTTAATTGGTGTGTGGAAGAATCAGCTGATGCAAATTTTGATGAATATGTGAAGACCTCTGCCAATGTTAGGAGGAAAATTTTTCAATAGCCCATCTACTTGGCATCAAAGGGAAGGAAGGATACTCCAAAGCACTTGGCTCTTGGAATGATGATTCATCAACTTTCAGGATTTTCAAAACTCGTTGGACTTTTGAATGGTCTTGGGGGTACAGTTTCTCAATCAAAAGTTCTTGAGTATGACACCACACTTGCAGAGGATCAGCTAAATCTGAGTGTCAATGATGGTTTACTAAAGGATCAATTAAATAGTACCAACAACTCTGACTTGGGATAACAATGACTTTGGTGAAGAGAAAGCAACAGGAGCAGAGACCACTCACATCACAAATGGGATTGGCATTCAGCATTTGAAATTGGTCTGAAGAAAACCCATATAAAAACCATTGAGGTACCAACAAAAGACATGCTATACCACAGTGGGAACAAAGAAGGACCAACTCATCTGTCTGAGTGGAATACTACATTGTTGGGTTCAGTCTGTGAACAAAAAGCTACACACTATGATACTGCATTTGTTCTTTCTAAGTTGCCATAGACTGAAACCACTCTTAGCTTTGTTGGGAAAATGTTTTAAACATACGGGTTTGCAAGATATTCTAGTAGAATGAGGAATCATGGCAGAAGGGTCAGTGAATGGTGTGATTATTGTTAATTACTACAATAGAAACATCAGGAGTCACAAGTTAACCTATGAAGCTCTAAAAAGATTGTCTTGGGAAATGTTTCTTGATAGCCTTTGTGAAGAAAAGTATAGGCAAATTCATAACCTCGCCAAAGATCTTCATGATGTCTTTTCGAGCAACACATATGATGCCTTAGTATCATCATATATATTCAATGATGTAGTTTGCCAATACAACACCTTTTAAGTGAAAGAAGCCAAGAAAACCCAACCTTTGAATTCTGATCATCCTATCTGTTGATGTTTGTGTGGGCTACAAGGGAACATAACTGGGATCTTCATTTATCATCTCTGAAAAGAATGATTCCTTGGTTCTTTTCATATGAACAGCCAAACTATGCCAGGTATGATCATCTGTATTTGATGGAAATGGTAGATCTAGAAAGATCACATACTGACATCCATGCTGATATGGTCAATGGAGGATTTGCTGTGAAAAGACAAGAGTAGTATTGTTTTTCCCAGGTGGCTGTGGATCAAACTATTGATCAGACACTGCATCGGGACCCGAAGACTAAAGGGGAACATACTGGCATGACTATAAGAAAATGTGCAGTCCATCAATGGATCTTCTGATATCCAGCACAAGCAAAAATCAGTAGCCAATGTGAAGAAATGGCAGGTAAAAGCAAATAAACCTGCCCAAGAACGGATAGATAAATCAAGGATGATTGTTTGGTGAATTTATCCACAGGCAGCATTGCTCCACCTGAAGTGCAGAAGGACTTGCTACATGATGAGGAATTTGGGCAGTTGGTTTTCACTGCCTATATTCAGGAAAGATTGACAGGGTATGAAAAGGAAATCTATGCTCCAATAAAGCATATGAAATTAAAAACATTTTCTGATGTAGCACAATCTGTGCCAAGAAAAAAGAAGACACAGAATATAATGCTGAAGGCAAATTCAGACATAATGATGTGGATATGAAAGATGCTTTTTTTGGGGGGAGGGGAGGTCACTTTCAGCATGATTTACTGGTAGATTAATTGCCACAAACATCCCATAAATGTCAAACGTGTAAAACAAAAAAAATTAGATATTTAAAAGCTGGATGAGAATCTTTGCAAAATGACATTGAATAAAGGTACTAGAACATTACGTTGCCAATATCACATATTTTGCATTACATGTATAATTTTAATGTAAAACAAGTTGGAATAAAATTTTTCAAGCTTATTCAGAATACTCTGGAATGGTCCATTTGTGAGTCAACATCCTGAATCTGTCCTTATAATCCAGTTTCTCATGTGAGATTACAGTCACAAAAGCCTCCAGTCACCATCAAACAAAAGGTTAGTATTAAACCCTCTGGAGTATTAATGTGCAACTTTAGGATCCAGAACATTGCAACTTTGAAATCAACACCCTCAAATTACCCTAAAATCAATGTTTCTGTTTGGTCCCAAAAGTTGTCAAACAGATATGAATTTCTAGACTCATTAGAAATCTTTGGCCCACAGTCTAATGTTTCTTTTGAAAAATAGAGTATTAAAACTATGTTAATTTATCTGATAATGGTCTTACCTTTCTGTAGAGTACTGTGATCATATCACTTTTCTGTTTTGATCTAATTAGTTCCATATATTCACCAGAAGAGCCTAAAATAACACCAAACAGCAAAGTAAAGGCTAAGGCCAATACATCCTATTGCCAACATATGGCAATAAGATGGTTAAATGTACTGCTCTTCAACTAGTATTTAAATATACAGTTTGTTATAATTTTCCTCATAAAATGCTCATTAGAAAAGTTTGATGTTCCCCAAGAATATTAAAATATAAATTATGTTACTGTTAATGAGTTCATAAAAATGAGCCTTAACAAGAATACAGGTAAACTCGCACATAATTCCCTGGTGATGTTATCACCCACTTAATATATATATTCTTTTTCTTTGCCTAAGTTACCTGTATGTAGTTTGTCAACTAGTTGGATTCCACCAAGACTTGCTTGAATTGCAGGCCCATAGTCCATAAAAGCAAATTCTGTGCGTAGCTTCTCTATTCTCAACATCAAGTATGGCTTGTCGACATGGTCACTAGATCGTGCCAAATGCAACACTACCTCTCCAATCCACAGCTGCAGCAGCACATGAATGGTGTTACTAGCTGACATGTTATCTTCAAAACCTGGTAAATCAACAGTTCTTGCCCATTCTTCAGTTTCTTCATCAGAATGATCAGATACTGAGAAATACTTTCCAATTCCTAAATTTGAATGTAACAATATAATTATTTTTAATCATAAAAAATATTTTTAGAACTAGTTTACTAAAACTCACATTATTACAAATTAGGAAAGATGTATCAAAATTCTTAAATATACATTTTCTTATTATTCAATACTCATATTAGCAAAACATTAAATCACAAAATATGTAATTAAATGACTGGCCATATTATTAGAACCACCATACTCATACAGAAAACTAGCTATTTAAATATGTATAACAGACATTTTGTGGAGTGTCATGTGAATCCCTAAGCTTTACAAATGCAGAACTTTAGGCTGCAACACAATGACTATTTGTTTGTTTTAAAGTTAAGCACATAGCTACACAATGGGCTATCTGTGCTTTGCCCACCATGAGTATCAAAACCTGGTTTCTAATATTGTAAGTCCGCAGACATACCACTGTGTCACTGGAGAACAACAATGACTGAGAGCAAGGAATTTGTCTCTGAGTTTTAAATAGATATGGTGGATGCCCATCTACCAGAGCATTCTTATGAAAATCTAGTTGACTGGCAGTCCACAGGAATAACTAGTCAGTGTCTATTAACAGTGGTAATCAAAAAAGAAATACATTTGCCAACTACACACAACTCTGCTGCTAACTTCTAATGACAAATCAAGAGAAAAAACTAATGAAACCATGATCCACTTGACCCATTCTTTCAACAGTGATCAGCATTCAACTATACCCAGTAAAAGACATTATAAATCTAGTCCAAAAGACTTCTTGTCTTAAATGCCAACAGGCTCTTACAGCATAATCTAGGGACAGTATATAACTTGAAATGTGTGATGTAATATGATTATTCACATTTAAGCCTTTTATACACTAATAGTAGAGCCTAAACATAAAGAGAACCATGAGACATTTAACCATGCTGGTGTTGTTCCAGTACTACAAGCAATGGAAGTGATGTAATGATTTATGCCCTTAAAATCCTTTAGAAAAGCAAATACTGTCCACTTTAAAACTGAATACCTGTGAATAAAAGCTTAAACAAAACAGTAATGCAATGATCCACCAAGCTCACACAGCTTGAAATTGGTTCTAAAAGCATTACAGCTCTTCAGTAATTTTCCTAATACTAACCACTTTAAAACTGAATACTTGTAAATAAAAGCTTAGCCAAAACAGTAATGCAATGATCCACCAAGCTCATACAGCTTGAAATTAGTTCTAAAAGCATTACAGCTCTTCAGTAATTTTCCTAATACTAACCATTTTAAAACTGAATACTTGTAAATAAAAGCTTAGCCAAAACAGTAATGCAATGATCCACCAAGCTCATACAGTTTGAAATTAGTTCTAAAAGCATTACAGCTCTTCAGTAATGTTCTTCTAAAGTTGATTGAACATATCTAGAATAAACTACAACAGTGCATTCTCCAGTGATGCAAAAAAAAAAAAAAAAAAAACCTATAAATACTGAGACCAAGGGGGAAAGACATCTGTCACCACAACCATGGATAGCTAGATAACTGATTGAGCATTCATGTCTTACAGCAACAACGTTCTGCATAAAGATGGTGGCACATTCAAGTTTCTAACAAGCAGCACAAGGATGGAGCTGGAAGCCATAAAGCAAGTTCTACTATGGATTGCAATGAACTGCAAACAGACAGTGCTGCCAACATAATATTTGCAACTGACTCATAGACAGTAATGCATAAAACTCAGAGATGTTAGTCCCCAGATAGAAGGCAGAAAATAAAGCAAATATATGGTAAGACTTGGTTGTATTTAGGTAAATCTAAATGATAAAGTTGACAAGCTTACAAGAAAAACCCAAATATCAAATCCAGCACAACTCTACTGGTAGGAAATCAACCTTCTCTGTACTAGTAAAAGGAAAATGGCAATCATGAAAGGCTTTCATCAATATTCAGATGGAATGTGACTGCTGAAATAAGAGAGTACTGTATGGTGTAGTTAAGAAAAAAGAAGGTACAATATACAGCAAGAAGGTGACTGGTAACATCAATAAGGAACTCTCTTCTATCTCATGCAAAGTAGACATTCTCCACATAAGTGGTCAGTGCCTTTAGGTGCAAACCACTTGAATAGTCACCTAGAACTGAACTTGCATTTTTCATCATAATCCTCTGCTAATGTCTGTGAAACAATTACTGACCATACTGCTTGAGGCATGTACTATAGTTGAACAACACACTGTAAAGACTGTAACAAGTTGTTAGGCTATAATTACAAAATATGTTTCAGCCCAATATTAAAAACAGAGTCCAAATAAAAAACATTATACATGAAATACACAAGATTCCTTTTAAAACCTAAACAATATTTGTTGCAATTTTCTTAGACTTTTACATATCAGCAGTCGGTTTTTGTTTCCAGCAAACCTCTCTGTAGCTGTGCAGAAATGAGAATATGAACTTTTTTTTATTTTTCCTCATAAATTACACTAAATAAATGTGAGAAAATAACAAAATATTGAATCTAAAATATTTTTGAGTTAAAATTGTTGTAATGTAGCTAGAATTAGCATATTAAATTGACTTTTAAAAGTTATACATGAAAAACTTTTGTCAAGTAGCAAAAAAATATGAAAAATCACAGGAAACCCTGTTTTCAGAGTTCAAGTACAATAATTTATAATTAAGTTACATTCTTAATCCTAAACTTTGAAGATGAGTATGTACAATACATGAAAAACAAATACATTGTTTAACATTTAGAAATGATTTATTTACTCATCAGTCACCTGTTGAATTAATCCTATTTACACTTTTCCAGACTTATAATACTTATGCAGTTTTATAGTAATTTTTAACTCACCATTTAGTCATCTAAATTAATTTAGATATGTGAATAATACTGCAGCACTGCACCAAACTTAATATTTGGTGTTATACAGTGGACCAACCATTTAATGATATTGTGTTTTTTTTTTCTTTAAGTTACTAAATGGTGAGTTAAAAAGGACTTAAAAGTACATAAATATATATATGATAGTTATAACTTCATCTTACAAAATTTGAAAGCAATTATGAAATGACTAAGAACAAAACAAGAAAGTCTATTCAGAAAATATAATATTACTGCATTAACCCTTTTGAGACAGGTTACAGATGAAAAGCCATGTCATCTTGTTTGTTGATTCACATAAAAAATGTTATTGAACTACCATATCATGAATTTATGTAATTAACTTTGGTATCAAACTGTAGATTATAAGTCAAATTTTAGTACTATATATTACTCAATTTCTTAATTTAAAAGCAAATATTAAAATAACACAGATAAATATCGATTTTTGTGTGTCACTTATGTTGAATGCAGCTCTGGTTCAAATTAGATGTTTGTAATATCAAAATACAAAGTCTATAGTTTTGTACGAATTAGAAACTCAAATTGTCGATATTGACAAGCTAGAATATAAAATAAGAGCCTCTTATCTTTTCAATTTTCTAAGATATTCCTCATGT